TCTTCTCTAATGAGCTCCCATTTCGTCCTCCAGACTGAGCAGCTGTAATCTGTCAGAGAGAAGCTGTGAAGCTCTGTCCTCAGTCCTCAGCTCCCAGTCCTCTAGTCTGACAGTCCTGGACCTCAGTCACAACGACTTTAAGGACTCAGGGCTGGAGATGTTGTCTGTTGGACTGAAGAGTCGTCACTGTAAACTGGAACAGCTCAGGTCACATTATTCATTTTAGTTACACTGAGAATTACAATTAATAAAAATGACATGATGTCCCATTTGTATTGAATGTTACTAATGAATTGACTGATTACAATATCTGTCCTCAGACTGTCAGGTTGTTGGTCTCAGAGGAAGGCTGTGCTTCTCTGGCCTCAGCTCTGAGGTCCAACCCCTCCCATCTGAGACAACTGGACCTAAGCTACAACCATCCAGGAGACACAGGAGTAAAGCTCCTGTCTGCTCTACAGGAGGACCCCCACTGCACACTGGACTCTCTCAGGTATGGACCTGTCTTCCCACCATTGCTCCTGTGGAGCAGTAACTGTACCATACACACTCACACCATACAGACTCAGTCTATTTTAATAGATTAAACATAAAGCCTTGATGAACCACAGTAATGAAAAATGTGTGTTCTCCTACAGACTGGAGCCTGCAGGTGTTCACTGGTTAACAGTTTGCCCGTGGAAGAGTAAGTATAAAAGAAATACAGTTATGCTTTATTTTATTTTAATTAATTTGTTTATTTATTTATTTATTTATGTATTTATTTGTTTGTTTGTTTATTATTTTTTGCATTTAAAACATTGAGAATATATTTAGACTTCATAGTCCAACTCTACATCCATGAATCCAGAGTTGTTTTTAAAGCAGATCCTGAAGAGTCCAGTCTGGAGCTGTGTTTGAGCTGCACTCATGTTTCAGCTCAAACATACACAACAATGCCATCAGAACTACTGCTCCTGGGAGCAAAGGAGAAGCACCAAGCTCCATCAGAACTGATTGTCAAAACTGACTTCTGGTAATGGTGGCCCAGTCGTGCTGTTACTTGTGCTGGTTTAACTTTTCTGAACTACTGATTAAAATTTACATCCCAGCTTTAGATTTGACACAAATTATGTATGAAACAAATGTGCAGATATAAAATGACCAACATAAATAAAGTGACCATACATGAATGAAATAACTAAAATAGAGGTGCACTAAACCTGCACATGTACAGTCTGCACTCGTATGACTTGCACATGTATAATCTCTGAAAAGTTAAACATGAACCATCTCTAACATGATATACGCACAGAACAGACTCACCATCAGCAGCCCATCCCTCTGTCACAGAAAGAACACACATATCCCACTGAGTCGTGTCCTTTAGTCTGAAAGAAGCTGAACCGCATCAGCGCACAAGGAGCGAGCTGTTTTTATCAGCACTTACATTTATGCAAATGAGCTGAATTATATGATCAAATGGGTTGATGTGGCTGTATAGTGGTTATGGTTTATATATGTTGTAAAGTTGAGTTTATTTATGCAGAAGATTTTAATTAAGAATCTGTTGCAGTGTGTTTGGAAAGTTCAGTTTGATCTGTGCAGTGGATCATAGTTCCTTATCACTGGTTACGAACCTTCCGAGCTTCCTATGCTAAAAAACCTCATGGTTGTTTGTATTTTTCCTTTTTTATTAAGTATATCATTTTTGAAACCAGAAACCGGTATACTTCATTTCATCATGTACACAGTGATATGAATATCCCGGTTTCTCAGTGCACTTGTATACACAGTATTCCGAATACTTCAATAACCAAGATATAATAACTGGGATATTGATGTGCATGTATTCACACTCATTGTGTCACTCCACTAGAACAGAATAATAGAATTCACCTCCAGAAACTTGGACTGGTGGCAAGTTTTACCAGTATCACCTATAGGTAGGATCAATATTCTAGAAATGGGTCCGGTCAAGTGGTAACGGAGGGAAACAGGGGCAGATTTTTTACATTCAAATGTCTCTTATTCAGAAACTAGAGGGACTATTGAAATAAGTAAAGTATCAGAATGTAGGAAAGAGTTACACTCCAACAGGGTCAAGTTAAACCTGTGATATTCTTTCAAGTTCAAGACAAAAATTTTAAAACTCATGTCGGTAACGGAGGGAATGAAATATGCAGCACTTTTTGGGCAATAAATATAAACAGTGATAACTCTTGGTTCTCACTTACAGATCCTTAACAAACTGGTTTGAATATTTGTGTCATATAGTTTTCTACCATATGTTACAAGATTAGGTTGAAAAACCTCTTACTTTTTGAGTCATGAGATTTTTTATTAAGAAAGGTCACGGTAACGGAGGGAAAAGTAACAGAGGGAAAATTGTACAAACAAGTAGAAGGTGCAGGATTTTACATCATTTGTCAACTTTTTTCTTCTGAATACTTTAATATTACTTCAAAATGAAAGGAAACTATTTCTATAAAATATGTCAGTCCTTCCAAGTTAATTTTTCTTATTTTAAATACTTTTTTTTTTTTTTTTTTAAATCCTGTACCTTCATCAACAGTTCAAAGATGGAATAACACAAGATATGATGAAATACATCCATTTATTGACATGATTTGCAGGTCTTTGAAATTTGGGAAATAATTTTTGTTCCATGTTTCATACATGGTCTGTTTAAAACATATGGAACTTTAGAACCAAAAACGGTACAGAAAAAAGGTCAACAGTTTCATAAACTAGAGTACATATGTATCTGTTCAATACATTTTTATATCAGATGCATTAAATTGAATTTTTGGCCTTGCTGTTTACTTCTGCTTGAAGGCGCCCAAATGAATTTTCTTTAAAAATATCCCCATGGTTCCACCAGCTGGAATGTTTACTAAAATGTCAGAGTTAATCAGGAAATGTATTTGGAATAAGAATGGTTCACAAATTATCTTTATTGTATCTCCATTTGATACAGAAGATTTGAAATGTCCCAATCTTTACTGCTGTTACTCAACTAAGAACATCCATCCATTTTCTTCCGCTTATCCGGGGCCAGGTCACGCAGCAGTCTAAGAAGGGTCCAGCCGAGAGACATAGTCCCTCCAGCGTGTCCTGGGTCTTCTCCGGGGCCTCCAGTGGGACATGCCTGGAACATCTCCCAAGGGATGTGCCCAAGAGTCATGCAGAACAGATCAACGTGGAGGAGCAGCGGCTCTACTCCAAGCTCATCCCATGTGACTGAGCTCCTCACCCTATCTCTAAGGAAGTGCCCAGCCACTCTGTAGAGGAAACTCATTTCGACCACTTGTATCCATGATCTTATTCTTTCGGTCATTACCCAAGGCTCAGGGTAGGAACGTAGATTTACCGGTAAATCGAGAGCTTTGCCTTTTGGCACAGCTTCCTCTTCACCACAATCGTGTGATACAGCGATTGCATCACTGACGATGCTGCACCGATCCACCTGTCAATCTCACGCCTCATCCTCCCCTCACTCGAGAACAAGATCCCGAGATACTTGAACTCCTCCACTTGAGGCAGGGACTCCCCACCCATGAATAAATATTGATAAGGTTATTTCACAGTTTGGGGTAATACATTATTTAAACCAAGAAGGATGGACGCACAATTCCAGTTTTGGGCAAAGAATTGTAGAAACTGATAAATAAATTTGGCCAAGTTTAAATGTAATAAGCCCATAACGTAATAACCAGCCAATAATGTAATAACTTTAGTGAACCAATAATTTATTACATTATCTACAGATTTTTTTTTTTTTTTTTTTGCTGGTTATCACATTATTGGCTAGGTAAGGGCAAAACATGTCACAAAGTAATAACTGCAGCCAATATTGTAATACCACCAAATACTGCATTTGAACAGTTTTCTTGTGATTTTCGTGGGGGGGGTTCTCCATGTCCAGCTGATGTCCTATGCTTTCAACCATTGCTAATACTCCTGCTACATATATTACTAATACAAACACTATACTTCAACCACTGCTACTTCAATCACTGCTGCTACTACTACTACAAACACTACTACTACTACTTCAACCAGTAGAGAGCTTTCAAAAAACATATAATATGCTGTTTCATGTTAACGGATATATTATTTTGGCTAAACAATATAATATTAAAGGTAGAATTTAAACTTGGCACATGGTCAGATGTTATGTCTTTTCCAGAGATAACGTACAGACTAGACAGGGACGGTAAGCTACAGAAACCCTTTTTTTTTTTACCAATTTAAGGCAAAGAGCTGCTTTGGGGCACAGCTGGTAGTGAAAGATCTTGTGTGTATCTTGTGTCAGGTCTATTACAGCCACTGTTGAGCAGACAAGCGTGTGATGCTCTAGGACTGGTGTACAGAGTAGACACAGTCACTGAAATTGAGACAGATTTCAGAGCAGCGTACCCAGATGTGTTTCAGGGTTTAGGCAAGCTGAAGGAGCCTTTTCACATATAACACACCAGTCTACTTTCACCCCTGCTCGTTAGATGTTGAGATTAGAAAAACACTGGTATTGTACTAGCCTGATTTATCAGCCAACCTTAGGATTTGTTCGCTTGATGGTAGGCGGGTACTTTTTTAATTTAACCAATCACTGCTTTTTGGTCGTGACCTCACACTCCTAAATGCAGCAGTAAAAAAGGAATGCAACATTCTCCCAGCAGCTGATCAAACATTGCAATGATGAAAGATGATTAAATGTTCACAAAACTCGAAGCTCATTCCACATTTTGGCAAATCCCTCTCACACCAGAGTCAAGGTCCCTCACAACCTTCATCACGCCCTTTGAACGGTTTCAGTTCAACCGACTTCCCTTAATATTGGCGCCGGAACATTTACAAAGGAAAATATCCCAGATGCTGGAGGACTCTGAAGGTGTGATTTGTCATGCCGATGATGTGCCGGTGTATGGCAGAGACATGCGGGAGCATGACCACAGACTGCACTGTCTGCTCCAAAAGTTCCAGAAGGAGGGTCTCACTCTGAATCAGAAATGTGAGTTTCCCAAAAGTGAAATTATCTTCATGGGATATAAAGTTTCTACAAAAGGCATAGAGGCTGATCCCAACAAGTTAAAGGCAATCCAGCAGTTGCTGCAGCCACAGAGCGTGGAGGATGTGTGCCATCTCATGGCTAACTATCTCGTTTTCAGAGAATTTAATTTTTTTCACTTATCTGACTTATTGCATTGAATGCTTTTATATGCTTTTTGTATACAAAAGCAGTAGGGTTCCTCCTATGTTTCCCTGACTAGCATACATACGTAGGGGTCCAGACAGGCACTCCGCTCTCGACCCCTTAGTTTTCCTTGAACCCTTTTTATAGTTCAGCCACTTCAGCCCTTCTTCTTCTAAACATCGAGTCATCTAGCCTTATTTGTTTCTCGCCATGTGTTGTCTTCTTCTTATTGGTCCACACAGTTCCTCATTGTAGATTTCCAAGAGATACGCAGTGGTGTCTTCTTCTCACACCATCTTTTCACCTTTCACCCAGTCAGCACTGTCTGTCACACACACTAGAGAAAGCATGTTGCATAAAGAGGAAGAAGCATCATGTTTACCTTTATCTGACTCAGTTTTTTGCCACTCTCAGGCTATTTACCAAACTGTCTAGTTTTCTGTTCCTTTTCTTACTTCATGCACATATTATTAGAGAAATGAGTGGAGTTGGGCAGAGCCCCAGGAACT